GTTAATATCTACATACATTGCACCGAACGTAATTTTTATCGAGATTTACAAAATTGTTTATTTTTTAAATACGAACATATTTGCAGGTTGGATAATAAAAAAAGAAAGAGTATAGAAATTAGTATTCATTTACATCTGTCAAGGTCGATAATCTAAAAATTCGAATGTCCATTTGTATCTTTTTTCTTGGAAAACCGATGATAAAATATAGAATAATTTTATTTGAAAATTTCAGGACTATACATTATTTTTATAGTTACTCACTGTCAAAGTGCTACACTTCACTTTCTTTCATTAACCTAAATTGGTACTTAACTCTTTATGCCCTGAAGGTACTTACTTTAATGTACTACTTTTGTTAAAACGCTGCTACGAACCAAATGTGATTAAATTTATTTTTAACTTGAATTAATTTACAGAGCCATTGCATGCATCTACTTTTTCCTGTTTGTAAACAGTATTTATACAACAGTTATCTAGAATAAAAGAGAATTACATAATGCAGAATATAAAAGATTAACTAATTTATAGTTAAATACTACACTGAGAAAAAATTCTAAAAATAGAAATTCTGAGAAATTTGAAAATAATTAATAAAAAAATAAAAGTTAAAATGGCGATGGATTTTTTCTATCCTGAAAAAGTGATTTCACAATAGTTTACCTACAATATTATATACTAGTAGATATTGTATTCCAAAAATAATCTGAGAATATTATTTAAGATAAAGAAACACGTATATATACATATAAATGCGTTGTCACGTGTCTGTCCTGGTGTATATGTAAAATTATAAGAGTTTCTATGTACCTGTATACATGTGTTTCCTGCTATTCCGGTATTCAGCAAACTCGTGAATACTAATTACTAAATCACTATTGGTCCATGTATATTTCAGAGTATTAACTATGACGTCATTATTCATGGTCATTCATAAATATTATACCGTGTCACAATTCGATAAATACCTTTCGACAAGCATTTGTCTTCGTTCGTAGATTAACGACGTTAAAGAATGTAATTATAATTTGTTGCTGCATCTTTTACACCGCTAAATTCATGGATTTGTCTAAATGCCGGTTTTGTAAAAATGATTTTATTGCACGCCACTTGAATGCATGTATAAATAAATGTATATAAATGTGCACGTTCGTAGGAAATTGCATGAGTATCGTACGCAATATTTGTTTTCTTTTTATCTCGATATATGAACTCTCTAATTGTCCACATTAATTTGACTAACGCTGTCGGTAAATATTTGTTTACGTGATCATTGGATTGTTACTTCAACAAACATTTAGTGAAATAGGAAACATGAATTGTACAAATATAAAAATCGTTCTTAATTGAATGGGTCATAAGTTACACAGGCACTTGTAACGGAATATCAAATTTTTTAATTTTTTGTTGGACTGTTTTTGTTTAAACGCAATAAATTGAAATATTCAAATATATCACGATTCTGACAAAATTGTATAAATGAAAATTGGATTAATTGAACTAACAAATAAATTGAAATGTTTCAAACGTAGGTTATTCATATTTCCTCATTTGCAAGTTGTGAAACTTCGAATACCAATTGTCAAATTTATTCTACTTATCATCCTAGATATGAATTATTCAGAATGTAGTAGTCTAACCATATTTCTAAATTTTCGAGAAAAAAAGTTTTTATGAAATGTTCTTAGATCAAGTAAATACTAATATTATAATGTTATTAATACTTTTAAACATTATTAATTATTAATTTTAGTAATTGTAACGGTAATGTTTTATTAATTCAAATACATTTCACACAAGTTTTTTTTCTGGAAAATTCACAATTAGTAGCTAGAACTCAATTATTCTGAGCTATTCGTTTACAAATGTAAGTACAATATAAATAAATAGTTAAGAAGTATTTCTTTGAAAACTTAAAAAGCCTGTTAAATTGAGTTATAATCATTTTGTGTTTCTTTATAATGTCAATGTTGATTCGAGATTTCGTGATACCTGATTTGCTGATTCTCGCAGAAATTCCATCGTGTCGACAGAATCACGACGCTTAGCAGTTCTGTTTATGTAAATCCAGTGTCTCGGAAGAGTTCTCTTCAAGAACCACGTTTAAAGTGCCTTAGTTTTCTTAATCAGATAATCAGGAATAAGAAGGTCATCAGGAATTCAAAGTTACCTGTAAGAATTGTAAGTCGTAATATTTACATTATTTCTTGTAATCAAACTCCATACTTGGAATCAACTTATTAACAGCTTTATATTATTCTAAAGAAGACCAAAAGTGTATATTATTTTACTAATGGATTCAATTGTATTTTAATACTCACCAGGAAATTTGTACAGAGAAATTTAAAAATTACAAAAAACATCATTATAATCAAAATTGAATAGTTTCCTACGTTTAATAAACTTTCATCTAAATAGAAGTTTTAAACAATTTGAGTAGAAAGTTCTGTGGGACATAAACCAGTGGGTATTAAAATCTTTATTTTAGTAATTTTCTTAGCATCTGTTGTACTTTTAATGTATATAGCACAACAAAGAAACATGCATTACTTTTTAAAGGATGTTTCCATCCTAAATAACCAAAACATAGAAAAAAGTAACTACTTGATATTACTAATTCGTTTCTCTATAAACTTTTAAAAACTCACAAAATCTGATCAAACTATCGAATTAAAAACATTTAGCAAAAGTTTTCAGGATTTATTTTATTTCGCATATTTTTATATTCAGTAGATTGAATATAATACAATACCTCATAAAATTTTATAAAATTTACTGTTTCATCGTTGTCTTAAATTCTTTGTATGTTATATAAATACAAGAACATTATTCTGTACCTTGTTGAACAGGATATATTAACTGAAAATACGAATTCCACGATGAGTTTCAAAATTTGCCCATTTTCGAGATTTTCCTTTGCGTGCATACGAAATGTCTAACATCGGCAGACATTTTCGCACAAGTTCGACGTAACAACGACACAATGCATACCGATTACGACACGTAGTTCGCGTATTCCTCTGGCATGAGTGACGAAGCTTCGCGCACCCCGTCCGATCTATAATATACGAACTCCGAATTTCCATTCCTATTGGCATTCAACGGGGGCGGCACCTCTCTACGCTGAAAAATATCCGTCCGCCGGCTGTCTGAGCTCAGAGAACCTGTCGGAAGTACAGAGTATCAGTATCTCCTTTGCGGATCCACTGATCCGTAAAAACACGGGGTGAATGACATATCAGCGGCTATCGACGGTCCTGACACGCTTCGATCCGAATTTCCATTATTTTAGAAGCAACCTATCCATCTTTCAACGTGTTACGCAACGCGGTAAATGAATCTAGAACATTTCAGCTTGTTATGGAATATTAAACATCGACCCTTTAACTGTTAAATTAATATTTTAATACTGAGAGCCGTTTGATGGTTGAAGTGAAATTAATATTTCACAACCTTGCTGCAAGCTTTCTGAATTTTTGTAGAAAAATTTAAATGAAATAGAGGTTATTTCTTCTAATTCTTTTCGTTTTTATTCAGTTATTAATTTTTAGTAGAATTATAAATATTCTGTTATCATAGAAGTCTATAAAAGATATTTATTATTTTTATTCTACCAATTCTGTAATGTACATTTGTATTCATGTAGATAGTCCTTCATTATCGGTCTCATACTGTTGTTTATCACATGCCTGTACTAGTGTTCGTACGCGCTTACCGTGTAATCAAACGATCTTCCACTCGTTGGTGATCAATAATATTGATGAATTACCGCGGGCGTCAGTTTTAAATTTAATTTCAGTTCCGACCATAAGTCACAATCAAATACCAAACGAAACCGTACAATTTCCTATCTATTCAAATTGCAAATTAAATCGGTATTGGATAATGTCTTTCAATTAAACTTTAATGGAGTACTTAAATTACGAAGCACATTACCATTTCGTTTCAAGTGGCCTAGGAACATTGAGCATCAATCTGAACAACACTTCAATTTGTAACCGAAATTCATCGTTAACCCGGTTTCGATACATTTCTGTCGTAACAGATTTTCTGCATTCTTTATAATCAGCACTGCATCTGATTATTCAGGAATTTTTGTAATAACGACACGAATGCAATTTGGTGGAGGATTATGCATCACTTTATTGCCAATACTCTGTACATAAACGCGGCTGCAAATAATTCACTGTCGCCTGCGCAACTATACGCTATCTGTAAAATAAATTAACCGTAGCCCACATATTTCACATACTTGCCGGTAAAGTTATTGCGAGCCGTGTTTAGCATCGGACTGTACATAGTAATATTTATGTGTTCGTTGTCATTTCACTAATGCGGCGTTGTCAACGATAAATCTACGCGCGACAAATCAGTTCATTGAATTCGTCTGTCGTCTGTTTAAATAATCACCCTCGACCTTCGCTTATTGTAAATAACAAGGGCGGGAACCGGTGAGTGTGGATTATTGGCACCGGTCTGTACATTGCGTTCTCACCTTCTCTACAACTCATTTGAGCGGATGCGCGAGTAGTGATGGGATTTATCGGTAAATTCACTATTAGATCAACGTCGTATATTGATTCTCTTGTAAAGGAAATGATACTCTTGCACAATAGGATATTGTTAAAAAATTGTAGGCTCACTTTCCTATGCAGCATTCATTCTACACAATTCATATAATTATTTCACGGGACACTTTTTTTATAAATTTATTTATGTAATAGAAACTGCCTTTCTTTTTGTACTTGTTGCTCCACGTGAAATACAATTAATTAAAATTATTATGAATTTTCTCGTATCAAGGAAAAATTACTCTTACAATTATCTAAATAGAGGATATTCGACGCTTCAAACTGTCTTTGTAATTATCTATTTATAATATTTATACATTTCTTGCGAAATGGTGTCCTACTGAGAATTGTTCCCATCACTACGTTCAAGTCGCAATTTTCCCTTCTTCACCACTTGCCTGAATTCACTTGTTTCTCGCGTCTACACAGTGGACACACAATCGAGCAACTATAAATCGCTCGGTGTAGGAGCGAAAGACTTGTCCCTAACGCCCACGGTTATTCAAGGGATGGGAATGTTTGGGAACAACGTGGATGATATTGCTAGTGACGTTACCACCAGTACGACATCACCGGTTAATTGTACGACAGTAGTCTACGCCTTTCCCGAAGAGGATCGTGTCGTTGTTGGATATATCAATGAATGGATCAATGCATATTCGTTCATATCGAGTAAGTACTAAGCCGTTTCAATGTCGATCTGCCTTAGGATCAGTCGATAAATCTCTCTGAACCTTCTTTTATCGACTCGACGTCGGTAAATACAGGTTTCGCTCTTATTAACTACTAAAAAATTACTCGCAATCGACACTTTATCTGCTACCGACAGTGTACCTACAGCGAATTAATTTAAAGCTTCTGAATTCAGTTGTGGATAACACAACTACCTTACATATCGAATATTGAAAACGAAATATACGTATTTGTCGATTGACTTTTAACACTGGAGAGTAAAATTTAGTAAGTAAATTAATTGAACACTCATGAAGTGGCTTATGCTACAGAAAAAAAACGCGAATACCATGCTAACTCTACGTTTTTTTTTATGTAGATTACTGAAGGAATGTATAGTAGGGTGCATCCGTGTGCTCGAAGCGTGATTAATTTCCATGGTTTGCAGTCCAGCGAGCTGGGCACTGTGTTTGGCATTGCATTTTCTCCAGTGGCAGATATTTATAGTAGTTTTGCATGCGATTTGAGGCTCTCGCGATTCATAGAATGTTTTAGGTTTTAACTCAATTCGTAGTCAGTTGTTCGCCATCGCGATATGCGCCATGAAATGTTAGTTAATTTAATTCGTTGTTTTACTTTCGACAGAAAATCAAGAAAAGTTCTACCTCTATATCATAGTATCGGTCACCGCCGGTATTCTAATTTTTTTGGGCTTGGTGATTGGCCGTCTCCTGGTCAGCCGTCATCGCGCAAAGAGAGACGCGAAGTTCCATGCTAACAACGAGGCACTTCCCAATGGATTCACCGACGATATTTCGGAGATCGATGCTGATATTGATCTCACAACGCCAGTGCCAGTTCCGATGCAAGATACACGGTAGGTTCCCTACTTAATAACTATTTCAAGTATAATATGTTTAGCCATTTTCTCTACCTTTAATACTTAATTTCTAATTATAAATTCAAACAGAATATATTTCGTTTTATTGAAAACTCTCTTTACGTTTCATAATTTAAAAAACCCGTATAAATATTATTATATATTTTTTTGTTCGGACTTACAATTACAGGAAGCTTTTACCACCTTTCTTTAATATAATCATCAAAACCTTTTTGCGAGCAATAATGGAAATGACAAGCTTTTTCCTCAATTTAATATTAAATGGGTATTCTCCATAGATGTTTAGTTACCTATAAATGCAGATTTTCTCCTTTAAATATAATAATTACACTGACAAATAATAGGAAATTGTGAAATGAAACGATCTTATTAATATCCAATTTATGTTTGCATCAAAATGCCCGAAAGATCTGTTTTTTCCAACCAGAGGAGTCAACCCTTCTATATTTGAAGCCCTGATTTTAAGAGAGCACTTTGTTCCCAGCACCACTTTTGATGGTACGATGAATCGCACTCCGACATCTGGAGATTATAGGCTATTGCCTCTGTACTCCTCTCGACGGCTATAAATCTTATTTCTCAACGGAATGACATAGCATAATCGGCATAACAATGTAAGAAAAACGAGAGGTGACTCAAAAGTACATAATTATTTCCGTCAGTGATTAATTATTCAGTAATTGATTAATTACTTCATTACTTTGTACGTATTAATCTTTGCACACAATTCAAATTAATTTGTCAATAGAGTAAACATTTGTTCTTAATTATATTTTAAAACCAACATTTCATGTACAAAATGTCATCTAACTTTATTATGTGTAATTATTTGTAAAATACTTACACTAATGTTACTAAAAAGTACCAAAGAATTCATTAATTCCATTATATGACCTCTTACAGTTAGTATCATATCTACAACTACGCTTTAAAGCATTTCTTCGTACGAAAATCAATGCAGAAGTATATTAAGGTACTAAAACTTCGTGACTCGCCCTACACGTTTCAATCTAATCTCAATCTAATGTTAACACTGATGCAATTCAGTTTACAAAACTCTGCTACCACTACATCCTCAACAAAATGCACTAAGGAAATTCTGATCACATTTTCGATATAAAATCTACGAATAGCAATCCATACCATTATCCGCGAAACACATTTTAAAGAATTCTCCATAACGTAAACTATCTATATTTTTAATACTGGAGTTGCTAAGCTATCAAATCAACGATTAGCAACTACCATATACAAAGTCACAATTGCATTTAGGGAAATACAATCATCGCTTTCAATCACAACACTTTTAATACTAAAATTTTCAAGCTACCGAATCAACGACTCACAACTTCCATATATAAAGTCACATTTAGGGAAATACAATCATCGCATTGGATCAAGACATTTCGAACATGTATCTCAATCTCATATTTATTTCCAGAATTCCGGAGACCCAATTGGCCGAGCGACTCCACGGGGACCGTTATTACGCGGACACAAGGATACCCTTATCGCCCACCACAATTCACCCACCACCGGGTCACCACGCAGCCAATACGGGCGTGAGGGTGGACCTGGGCAACCACATGGTCGGCACCGACAGCCTGCACACGATCCTGCGCCCGGAGAACCCGCGGAGCCTGAACACCAAAAGCTACTACTACGGCTGACAGGAGGAAGGGGTTGTCCCGCGCGAGGGACGACCCTCGTCCTTGAGCCCGGTACCGGAAGTGAGCACGCGGAAGTACTGCTTTTAATTCGAGATGCCGAGATTTTCTGAAGGACAACCACCGTACGGAGCCGCTGTAAAACTACGTTCGTCGATCAATTGTCGTCCCGTCGAACAGAAGGATCCCGGCACTCGCGCTTGGTACCGGAGACTAGCACCAGTTGGTGATGTTTTTTATACTTTGTCTCCGAGGCGAACGGACTTCAATTGCGGAGAGGAACGTTTATTTTCAATCTCGTAGACCCAGTGGATCACGATACTCTCGATTCTCACAGTCGGGATGGTAATCTCGTGGCTGAACACTTCGTTGCCGGAAGTGGCGAATCGATTAAACGTCATTAGGATCAGGAATTCGTAGATTAAAACGTATCGAGTGCTGAAGTTGACAATGAACGAACTGCACATTTCTCGCGGAAATCGTTTCAGGCGTGCCTGTGTTCGACACCGGAAGTGAACGAATCTCGCAGACAGCTGTTGCAGCGGCGATGGTTGTAAATACGATTCTGACGCTGAGATTTCATGGTGTTCCGATTGACGATCGCGAGATTTCACGGGAAACAGGGTTGGGAAACACGTCGATAAATTGTTCGGTGGCCGAGCGAGCAGAAGAGAACATTGAAAATTATTGTTGTTGAAGATGCTGTTATTATTGAGAAATACTGTTTTTAATCGAGAGACGTACTAGTTATGTAGCGCTGGATTATGGGATAGAGGAATATAAGTATGTTGATCGTGAACGAAGAGTTAAAGATTTTTAATGCGCGGAGCGTTCGTCCTGCATCCGGTACCGGAAGTGACCACCCGAGACGTTGAACTTGATGGAGAAATACGATTGTAACTGGATTACGATAGATGAATGAAACTCTCGGACGACGACGAGGAGTTTTTGGAGAAGTGAAAGGGAATTGACGTTGATTATATTCTTTTCTCAATCGTACTTCAGGCATCTGAAATTTATTTGACTTCAAGTTAAATTTCTTGTACACTTAAGATGGTGATGTTGCTCAGATACAAGAAATTAGATATTTTTTGTAACGTGACAAGTAGCTCCGTGGAAGTCTGCATTTAATAGAATCACTTCTATTTTCGTAAGTCAGGCGTTCACTTTGAACTAAGAGGAAGTTTTTTTATTTGGAACTAATCATTTCAGTGATGACATAATATGATCTTGAAATCAATTGACACTGCCCGTTCAACGGTAATAACAATGACAATGTCTATAGAAGTAGATCGATATTCTGCATACATACTACAAAATAATTTTCATTAAGTTATATACGCACAAGTTTAAAATTAAAGAATCTTGTTTCTGTATTTCTTTTATGGAAAAATACATATCCACACAAGTTACTTGAAACAATAAAGAATCCTATTGTGCTTCCAGTACAATCGAAGATTTATTGCTGCCAAATTGGGAGAAAATTACTGCCTAATCTATGAGAAAAACAGCGGGTTCTTTGTTAAGCACGTTTCTGAATATCATCGACCTTGTGATGGTTTATGTATTCTCGCCCATGATAACACAAAGCGCCGATAATAAAGAATCCGATAATAATGTTATATTACAAATTTCGTAGTGTTTTTCTCGCTAACAAGACTAATTGAAAAATAGAACTGATTTATAAAATTAATTAAAATGCGAGATAATTATTACATCTTATTTTTTTGGAAGAGGATTTAAAGTATTCAACAAATATATACTTCCTTCGTACGTATTTAGTTGTCTGGTAAATAACCAGAATACAAAATAAAAGAATGTGCTCATTTTGGTTATACCATTTTAAAACTTATTGGAACAAATTAGTAAATAATTACTCAATGTCGCCTAGTAACTATATTCACTGACAGCATTTTCAGTAATCTCTTAACAGAAGAATTGCATTTAATAAATAATTAGTTAACTAACTGTAATAATTTATTTACTACAAATGTACTAATGAAAAGTATACAGCAACGTAGTATTGTTGATATTTTATAATTTTTACAAATCCATTATTATTTACCACGAGAAAACGAAATAAAATATGCAACAGTTAATTCATTTCATTGAACAATTTTTTCATAGAAAGTGTCATTCTGTCCATTCCATGATTAATCAACGAGTAATTCACAAAGTTCATAATTAATTACTTCAAGGTTCGCTGATACGTTCACTCTTCGAACCGTTCAGAATAATTTTCAGCGGAATCGCACAAGTTTCTTTCGATCAAGAATCACAGGAGTAATGGCAGCGATCTAAAGATCGGTGGTGCGTCCGACATACGAACGAAAACAACTCGCTCGAACGACACGAATCGACGGTCGATCGATATCCTTGGAATAATGTCAGTCCCTTACGTCTGTCCTCGTAAGAAGGAACTACACCAAAAAATAAAAAAAAAATAATAAAATAGCAAAGTATACAGAAAGAAAAATTGTTCGATTGTAATTCCCGTACTGATACCAAAAAATCGGTATCAGAGGGTTGATGAACGACCTCGTACACTAAGGAAATAGGAAATCGGTCGATCTCAACGAAGTTACAGCGGTTTTGTATCGCGTGTACACGCAGAAACCAGAAACGCACCATGAAACGACTTTTATAGAGAAACGATCTGTATGTATATCACGCTGTAAATAGGTACAACTGTCATTTACTGTAACGTTAAGGAAACGAAACGGAATGTGTGAGCGAGCGAGAGAGCGCGTGCATCTTTGCCGAGAGTGTAATACAATCGAAGGACGTCTCGTAGACGAAAGACACCGATACTGCCATCGAATCGACTTCACGATCCTGTGTGATTGAGATTCTTCGGAGCAACATCCTTATAACCGATCGTGATCGTTAATAGAAGTGGATCTTCGACGCTAGCAAATTTACTATATCGCCTTTCGAATCTTTTATTCAATAATATTCAGTTCTTTTTATAAAATTCAGCAGGACTGTACTGATAATTGATCGGTTTTGAAGAATAAACTATAGAAACGTGGATTTTATTAAAAAATTTTTTTAAATAATTAGAAAGAATGGAATATATTATTTTGAGACTTTTAGCAAGCATTATCGTACTACTGTTTTAAAAGCTGTAGTTATAGTTTAATTTATTACTATCATTTGTTTCAATAACAATCTTCATGGTGATATTTTATCAAGCGCATTTTTCATGAAATGTCTAAAAAATACGATAAAGAAATCGAATTAAGTTTTTAAAAATTATTTATTTACTTTGAATTTAATGGCTCGTTTCAAAAAGGATGAATTATGTGTGTAATTCCAATTTCTATAAATTAATTCATCATAATTAGCATTTGCTTAAATATGTATGAGTCGATGATAAAAAATTCTTAAAATGTACACATCAATCTTTCTGATTATTGGATATAGATTTTAAAAAACTTTCTAATAACATTTCCATTTACCTTTTAAAACCAATCGATTATTACGACGGATCCTGTATGTCGTAAAATTTAAATGACTTTGAGTAATTTAACTTTGTTTGGTAACTAAACGTGATATAAAAGGACTGATTAAGAAGAATGACATTTATATACTGTAAATGTTCATCTCGACATATAAATATTATAAATCATATTGCTGACATTACGTTGAAATTTCTTGTTAACAAATGTGACATTCGTTAATCAATCCTAATTATTGGGTACTATTAAATGCGAAGCATTAAAAAATAACAACAAGATTATAATAAATTTTATTTTTAAATTTACCTTTATTATGATTGATTCTTGTATCGGCGTGAGTGATTAACGTTCTGAGGTACCTATGTAGTTGTAATGCGAGACGTATTCGTCTCGTCGATCACGATCGTTAACCTGTAAACAATAATGTCCAGTCTGATCGTTCGTGTGTTAATTTTAAGATATATGTACACGGAATCGATTCCACGTACGTTTCGATATTAACTTCGATTCCAAGACTCACTTAATAATTAACGTTTCTTTTTTACGTTACGCGAGGAAATAACAATAGTATTTTGTAAGAAATTGAATAATGTCTCAAAGATCATGTGCAAGGATAGACATTTTTAATTGCATTACGTCGTTTACGAAAACTGACGGTACATTTGCGGATTTATTATATTTGTTGTCCATTGTTTGAATTTTCGTTTGAATTCAAAGAAATGGATGAACGTTTCCTAGTGCCATTAGTTCTCGCGCATGATCATTATATTTAATCTGTAAAATAGTTTATACTATTAAAATAACCGATTTGTACATTACTTATTATTAACTATAATTTTGCACATTCATTGCAACATTATCGTAGGTAACGAATAATTAATGTATTTATAATTTAAGGGTTGTTTATTTAATATTCGATGATTGGATGACTCACTGAAACTTTGCGACGTGTCGCCGAAATATCATAAAAAATTTGTTTAATTAATCAGTAACGATGATTGACAGAGTCTGCCTCTGATTGTTTCCCAAAAAATTAATTGTAATTATATAAGCATTAACAAAAAGGTGAAGCAAATTGTAATACTGTAAAATCGATACGAATAAATCGAAACCAAAACGTGAGGGTAAAGTAAAAGAAATATGTATACCTACTAATTGAAGTTTCTATATTTGTTACTGCACTCCTCAAAGAATGAAAATATGAAATTCGTTCGATTGCATAACAATTCACGTTAATTATTATGTGCTATGTTTTAACTTTGAATAAAAAATGGCATGTAAGTTAATTTACTGAGTTGCGTGATTCTCCTTACATCAAGTACTCTCCACGAATTAAGTTTTTGATGTAATCTTGATGCATTTTCCACAAATGAATTATATAAGACTGACATACGAAAGAATTCGTTTTAAATTGAAAACGAAATAGTATATTACATCTAAAGTAATTATTTAAAAAGTTTTATATAACAGCGTATTTTTTGGTATAATTTATTTATACATACGGCTTCCATTTTCTATGAACATTTTATGAACACAATTTGTCTGTCTGTTATAACACTATATAATATTGCTGTGAAAAACAATACGATTTTATTTATCACACATACAAAGGTTCGTTTAATTGAAAATGATCAGTAATTGGAAAACAAGAAAATTGAATAATGTGAGCTCATACAATAAACTTTTAGCATATTGCACAGCAGATTGAGAAAATGTTTCTTCTATATTTTTAATTACAATCAAACACATTTGACTTTCCAGAATAAATGTTATTGAATTGAAAACAATTTTAAACAATGCTGAAATGAATTTTAAAGCATATATTAATTATTTCAGCAACATATATAAATGAAAAGTTATACAAAAATGAAACCTTCCAAAGAATCTCGAATATTCATTATAGGATTTTGCAATTTTCATAAATTTAGTTCGTAAAACAGATTAATTAAAATTTTCTTTATATTAAACAGTTGGAAACAACTGATGAAACCTAAATTGGTATAACATCAGTTAAAGAATAATCAAATTTTACATAATCAATTATTCAACGCAATCATTTTCTCATGTTAGATTATTAAACATCGTTACTATTCAATTGATTAGCGCTCGAAAAAAAGTACGCAATACTTACAAAATCTGAATACAACAGTGCACATTCCAAGTATAATAAATCATTCTCCGCAATTGTGTTCATCACGTAACAAGAGACGTAACAAAAGCTCGAGGGTAAAAATAGATGATAAAGGAGCTATTATCATAGATCGTCGAGCATAAATCAATTTTCCGAAAAAGCTTCATAGCGGAGATGAAATACGGAATAACGGGCTAGAAAAGGCGTTTCTCGAGCGCTCGTCGTGCCTCAGTGAGTCAGTCAATTATTTCGACGTCTTCGAGAAGAGTGAAGGAGAGCTGTGGTGTTCCACTGATTAGTTCCCGTGCTGAAATAATCCGTTGTGGCCGTGTTTTTAATTGGTCCGGCTTAATTAAGCCACTCGTGCGGGATTGTTGCGAGTCGCACGGATCTCTTGGAAAATTCTAATTGCCGGAAGAATGTTGGCACTCAGTTCTTTCTTTTTTGCTCGTGTACGTTTTTGAACCATTCCTTCTTCCGTCGCTATCGGAATTCTCTTTCCCTCAGTTCTGCGTTGAAGGTCAGGTACTATACTAATAGCACGTCGATAGAGGTTTCTTTTTACTAATTTTCAATCCTCAAATTTTCAAAATTTCATAGTTGGAAAATTATTTGTTCGTAAAAATTTTAGTTAGCATGGTAGAATTTACGAAACTTTGAATCTAATGGTTATTAGTTTATAATATTGAATGGTTTCTCGAGTTACAGCGCAACATGAAAATATTATTAAACTTTATTAAACGTCTACTGACGTTTAGATGAGTTTGAATTTATTAGTAGATTTATTGCTAATAATAGTTTTTATTATGTTTGGTACTCGTATCTGTTTTATATTTTAAATATTTGGATTTTCTTAAAAGTATTCGTCATTTGTTCCATTACCTTATTTATAAATGCAAAAAATTCGTGATCTACTGTGAATGAATCAGTGAAATAAAACCAATGTATATTAAATACTCTTTCCTAGATTGAGTCATTAGTAAAATTATGTTACTCACACATAAATAATTTTTTCTGATCTTATTAAATAAATTATTTCATGGAGAATCATTTTGTATATATATAAACATACATATTGGTTTACAGAAATATTAAATTTGATCAAGCAAGTTTTTCTCCTTATTTCACATTATTATTAAAATTATTTTTTCTTTGTAAACAGGGAATCAGATGTGGGACATGTATACTCGATTCGTAGTAATTTACCGTGGGTCCAATATATCCCATTGGTACTGGCTCAACAAAATAAAATTGAAATGTAATAATGTATTTAATGAATTACGGTATGTCGATGTTTCGAGAGTGAATGGGTTGATATTGTTTGTAGACTGCGCAACGCACCAAGTATTCGGTTTTTATAAATAAATCTTAAGCGTTAACGATTACGATAAGTTAGTGGCTTATATTGATGTTGATGTTTCACTATTTATTCATGTGTCACTGTGAACATTTGAAATCATCTTTGAATTTTAATCTGAAAATTTCTATTCATATGTTATTCAATAGGAAATTTCTTTTTCAAGGAGCATATATTTTGAATCTTATTCGTCATAGTTTATTTCCTTAAACTATAGTAAATTATTTACTTTTAATATTTAATTTATTGAGAAAACTAGTTTTCGTTTTTATTATTCCCATTTTCATAATTTCTGCAACTCTTGCCTTCGTTAATTATGTTTTTTACTATCGAATTAATAAAAAATAATTCATTTTGTTTATTAAGAATTATATTCAGTTTAATTAAAAACAAAATTTGATCGCAATTGTACTTTGGTATGTATAATATTCACGGTCAGATCTTCAGTGACATATAGTTAGGTTGTAATATGTTAACCTGACATTAACATTAATTACTTTTCAAAGAGTTTACTTCTTCGTATAAGTACTATACTACTATGAATTGTCAAGTGATGTCAATTTATAGACACAGGTTTTTTATATCTCATCTGTAAGATACTCTTTTTTAATGTTTAACATTCACTTGATTATTATTTATTCGTGCATACTATGTACATTATTAAGGAAATATGTAAGCTATACCAAAGACGATTTATTATATGTCGATCAATAAAAGGGTAATTAGGAGGCTCGGAAATATAATTCATTAAATCACAATTTGGTACAGTTAGAAATCCTATTCATTTAAAATTACACGTCCACAATGATTAATCAATTATCGAATTACATTCGTTCCATTAGTTGTATTTTGTAATACGACAGATATTATGTACAATTTCGAATATTATATTACGTTTCAGACTGAGTAATTTTAAAAGATTAATTCTGCTTTAGGTATTAAGCAACATATTTAATTCCCCCTAGAAAATATTAAGTAATATTTGAAAATTGGTAGAGAAAAGTAATTTAATTAAATGCTTAGGAAAGAAAATTAAATTTCTATGAAGAACGAAGAAGAAAAATGAAGATCAAAAGCGAATATTATTGGAAGATCTCAGAAAAATTAATTTTCCTAGAAATGAATATTGAGTTTGACGAGAAAATGTATACATCCATCGCTGGTATATTGATTGAATTTTAAAAAGGAAAGCAAACAGAATATTAAAAAAAAATGTACAGAACCATCTAGCGGCCAGTTAATATAATTGAAAACAGCACTATAAATTTCTAAATGGATTATTATCATTTAAATAACAAACTAAAAAAAAACGAAATTCTTGCTTACTTATTACATGCTTCATGCTAAGAGTAAATAATTCTTTTTACACTTGTTAACCCTTTATAGTTTTACTTATACTCATGGTATATCAATAACATCGAAAAATCTAGTCCAGCATTCTCATGGTTCAATATTTAAATTAAAATCTCAATTTCTCCAGAAAAGGAGTACGAATAACTGCCATTAACAACTTCACCAATTAATGCAGGTCAAAACTTGTAGATAAATAAAAGAAAAATTAATTTCAAGATAGAAAGCAATCACGTCATTTTTGTTTGTCCTTAATTAATAATATTCTATAGGAAAAAGTTTCTTTTTATGTCTCATGAATTTTTTCGTACAAAAACTTACAAGAATAATAATATCATCTGATACACTAAAAATTCAGAAGAAACTTAAATAATAAACGAACCATGCATTTGACAAAGCAATCATCTCTGCGAAATGGCAAATAGAAAAATTTGATAAATATAAATACATAAAAAGCCAAAGAAATTATCCCTAACCCTTTAAGCATAAATATCATATTTCCAATATCAGATTTGAATAACTAAATTCAAAAGTTACAAATAAATAACATTATTCAAAAAACGAAAAGTCAGTTACCATTTACTTTTCTAATATTTAAAAATTCGAAGTATAATATCGCTTTTCGTGAAAAAGTTTTTTAATACTTCAACAAAATTTACGTCTGCGAAGGGTTAAAATTTGAAAATGTTCAAAATTGGAGTTAGTCGTTTTGACCGGTATACGACTCGAACGTCGTCGTTTCAGGACTGGTTGAAAAAATTGTCCCGTCCGTCAGCTTCCTTTTCCGAGCCCTCGGGTTACTTATTCGAAGCGGAGTGCCTGATATTATTCAAGGAGAAGCGGCTTCCGAGCAGGGTACGTGTTGATCGCAGCGTCGTCGTCAGCCCATAGTTCGCGGCCGAAATGTAAATTCGCGTTAAACGGATCTCTTCGGTGAAGTTAAGGGAGCACGCGTGTCCCCGTGTCCTCTGTAATGCACGAACAGCAACGTTGATTTATCGTGACGCTGGAAAACGAGATTCCCAGACAGGAAACGCGTGACCTAAAGGCTTAGAACCACACTGAAATGCAAAGGACTTCGGCTGACCGAATCCTCGAGGATCTATTTACATAAATCCAACGTGTCTCTAACAATTGTAAAATTCGAACAAATTTTTGGTAGGAACACATGCAATGTAATTGGTAGAGAATATTCCTCTTTATTATATGCTATCTTAATTTAATGAATCTAGAGTTAGACTACTGATATCAAATTTTATATTTTACATTCATGAAAACAACGGATATCTTCGTTAGAAATTATTAAATAAGTTCGTTTATTATTATTTACATGAGATTCAGAAAATTGCTTCGATTATGGAAGAAAACTATGTATAAGGTATTTGTCAATCAACGTTAGTATTAGTTTGATAGCCTCGTGTTCTTGTGCTCTTGAAAACTGAATTATTTTGGTACACATGAAGATTTTTATATTCAAAGAAAATATAAAATCTAATTTTATAATATTATTACTGCTATGTGTTTGCGAGTTTCTTTTTAATTAAAGTTTTGTTATACATATTCCAAATAATATAAGTAAAAATATCTAAGCATAACTTATTTAATATTAAAAATATTAGTTTCTTTTACTATTTCAGTCGATTGAGAAGAAACATGCAACTGTTTATATTCAGTAAGGCATCAATTAATCAAAGTTATTTAAAATTCCATGTTTTTTTATTAAAAGCTTTTTTCCGAATTAAATAAAGAGCATTTCATTTGCAATAAAACCTTTTTAATAGCGTAAAATCTCAATACCATTCGCAGGATTATTTCATAAGGATAATCGTCGTGATTGTTAAACGGAAATGTCGTTGGAATTTTCATTTTAATGTGGGTACTCTTGCACATTAAAATCTGTTCGAATATTCTACAGACATTCTACTTTTAGTAGAGTTTCATTAGTATAATGGATTCGTGAAATTATTCAACGCAATTACAACTTCAATACATGTTGAACTGCATGTTCTGGTTTTGCTTCATGACTTATTTAATTTTTATTAAATGTATAGTTTATAGAAACATTTTGACAAATTCTCATGTGCGTTTCCTTTGTATAATTCAAATTTGTAATCATTTTGAACTAAGATTACTATAATATCAGTAAAATAAGAAATTATTTATTCAGATGATTTATACATTAATCACATCTAGTTTCAAAATAAAAATTCCTCAAATTTCACCAACAATTCACTCAATAAATTGGTCTTTCTTTCATTATATATTAAATTAAAGCGTCAACAATTTTCTAGCGAATATTGAATCAACTTTAAACAAAAGTACGTAAAAACATTTTGAAAAACAAAATTATTTTTTTTTAAATAAAGTAGGAAGGGTTCCATCGTTCCCGCAAAGATCGTCTAACAAACGTATCGATTCACGGTGCAAAACCAAAGGGGTAGAAAACTTTAACAGGAGTGCGCGAAGTTTTCGCATTCAGGCGGAGGAAATAGCGCGGGAACGCAGCGCGATTGAAAGGAACTTCGAAGCATTTCATTTCGAGAAATCGTATGTATTATCGAAACCGTTCGATCGCTTGAATTGATCAGCGTTCAAGCAAAATTCAACGGGCGAAAGCGGAGCGCATTGCAACCGAGAGGAAAGATTTTCTGTTCGCATTGCACTTATAACGAGGAAACTCCGCGAGTTTGAAATTAGTAAAAAATATCACAGAATGTCCACGAAATCTATTTCCGTTTGTACAAATATTTATTCATACCTATAAATATGAGTATATTTGATCACACAATAAGCAATAACGAACAAGAAATAGTTCGAAATTTAAAACGCATTCCACTAGAAGAATTTTCACATTCAGTTGCAAAAATTTCTCAAAGATTAGCGATTCCATATTATCTGCAACTTTATACAGTTATTTTCAATACAGTCGTCTAATACCGGTCACAGAAATATCTAAATAACATATGGTTTCATTTAAAAATAAAAATAATTGTTGACAATGAAAAAAAATTACTATAATCGATATTGATATGCATAGAAAACATTTCTATGAAAAAGAATATTAATTTCATGAAAACCATTGGACTCGTTATCAGCCGATGTAATATGCCTAATGGTTTATCGATTTGTTCGTCACCGATCAGTTTTACGAGGACGCCTCGAGCTCGCGTGTACCGTGACGAGTCGCTTCTCAAAATTACCGAGACTTTTGTATGACTACTGAGAAATGATTTGAGGAGCATGCGCGTGAGAGAGTGCGTCGAATACCGACCGATGTTCTTATTGTAAGTACATTTTGTTTATAAGCACCTTGTAAATATCACTGTACTATAAATAACCGTGTACTCTTCGAGTTCGACTCCTCCCCGATCTCGAGAGGCAAACGATGCTGAGACGAAGAATCGGATTATAAGGAATATCGTTGCCATAGAAGCGGGAACTTATCGCGACTGGAAAGACTGACGCGACTATGGGATCGAAACGAAAGTTTATAATTGACTGTAAGCATCGGTGACTAAGATTGTGTTAATTTTCCGACGACGGGTGTTTTTTAACGACCTCGCGAGCAGCGATTTTTTCGACTATTCGAATTGTTACGTACTATTTTTGTTTCGATATTTCATCGAACATACATTTACAAAATATTTGTAATATCGATCTTGTTATTTAATCTGATATAATTAACTGAGAACGAAAGTTAGGAATAGATGAGATGAGAAGATGAAAGGAGTCTTTAAAAATCTGGGTTGAAATAGATCCAAGCATCGTCGTCCGAGGATTAAACACGTTGCTGAATTGATATTACTATTATCTATGTAGAGATGATTCAAGTGGAATATATGGGAAGGAGTGATATCTAGGTACTTTAAATTTAGTGTTTATATGAAGTGTATGACAATCGATATCGCGGAGGATGTGCGAAC